AAACCGCCTCTGAACTCTCGACGCATTTCAGGAATTCTCGCATTAACTTTCGATATTACAGTTTTGGTATAGGAATTCTTCGATCACGTTTCACTGATAAAGTATGCCGACGACACAATACGAAAAGTGAAAGTGACCCTAAAATCTTTGGGCCACTGTCACCGAGCAGTCTCGAACCTTTCATCCTTCGTTTTATAGTATACTGTTAATACGATCTATGATCCGATCCTAAATGACTCAGACAATCCGTGGAAGGTTCATCTTAAAAATGTCTCTAATTCAGCTGATCAAATCCTCATTAATCAAGCTTGATGGACCTTTCGTCCATTCATGCGAACAGACAGACTTAAATAGTCGAATCAGCGAACTGGATCTGAACACAAAAGCGTTTAATGGACGTCGGGAGTGTAATCGAGCACGTAACCCACCCCATACAAAGTTACGCGTGCCCCCGTAAGACTAATTTAGAAACGAGGAAGGCACAATGGACATCCGGTAGACAGACACGTTTCCATTACATAAAACGTGTTACAAATCGCACTTCCTAATTCCATTCGTCCAACTAGCCACTGAATGTTCGTGTAAAAACGCATTGGAATTTAAAAACCACTTCTACCCTTTCTAGTTTGCTTTTAATTATCATTGATCCTGGGAACATGCAGACTTTCGAAAACCTTTTCAGAATTTCATATGCACTCGTAATTCGTATGCAAACTGTGCGATCGAGTCGTAGACGCAACGTCTACGTGTCTGGGTTACAAAAATATGATCCATATTCCTTCATTCGACAAACTGACGTCTGTCTTTTCTTTATCTCAGGTGACGCTCGCTTTGGCACTGATGATGATTTCCATCATCGATGTTAGCAAAGCGGAGCTACCGAGGCCGAGTTATGCGAGGACGATGCTGAAAGTGTCGCGGAGTTTACCGGGCGAAACGGAGGAATTGAAGGTACGGACCAGCGAAGGGACTTTGGCCACATTGATCGTAAAACGTCGAGACAGAACTTTCCCCGAACGGCAAGAACCTTTAGAAGGCTCGGAGTTAAACGGTACTTCGACGAGAACGAAAGAAGAAGTAAAAAAATTGGAAGAAGCACAGATAGAACAGCTCAGAGCCAGACTGTCTGACTCTGATAACCAGAAAGGACCTAAGAACGTTTCTATCAATGAAAAGGCGAATGACACTGATAGGAATCGAGTGAACGAAGGAAGCGTCGATTATGGAAATTGGACGCCATTGCGCACAGATGGAAGAGTCGTTCAATTGGAAGAGCCGACGACGGAGGAGTATAAAAACTGGAAACCGCTGCCAAGCGATCAAAGGTCGAGCAGATACGATTCAATTTTCCCTGCCGGTGGACTGCTTCTGTCTCGTAATTTCCAAGACAGATCTCAGAGGCAGTCGCAGGCCGGCGATCAGGACAACGAGAAGCGTTACATGTTTCTGCCTCATCAGATTCGTTCTTCAAGGACGAATATCGGTGCTAATTTATTTAAGAACCGAGATGCTAAGAACGTACCACCGGAAGTGGTGGTCAGGTCGGAGATCAACGTGAAATCAAACCCGAAGAGATCGCCTATGACGTTGGACAGGGATGGCACGCCTGTGATTCATGGGAAAAGAGTACCGGACGAGCCGATCGACAAAATTCAGACTTGGCGCAACGCCAGAGTGATTAACAATAAATTGATATACGACGCTCAATCTGCTGATAATTTAGAAAGCCAATCGACAGAAAACGTGTTGGAGAAACAGAGGTTCGATAGATTCTTCAAGAACGTTAATAGGAGGTACGTTCGATTCGTTTTTATAAATATTTTATTTAATAGATTTAACAGATTTTGGCAAAATTTGGTGTATTCCTAATTAGAGCTTTTAAAAGGTTGTGATTAAATATTTAGAGGCTGACTAAGGGAAAAGTTCATTTATTTTCCCTCCATTAAGAAATCAGGATCAAAATTCAATCGTTAATTCTATTATCGATAAAACTCCCATAATTAACCCTTTGCACTCGAGGCCTTTTCTCGTGAACTAGCAACTCGAGACGATTTCGGCTATATTAGAGAAGAACTTTAGGGGTACTTCAAATCATTTTATACCCAAAAGAAAAAATTTTTGATCGACTCGAATACAATCAAAAGATCGCGCGAGAGTCTTCAAGTCTTTATCATATCAATTCTCTTTTCGATTCGAACAATATGAAATTTTAGTACGTGTCGCCAAGTCTGTTTTCACATTTTATCGTTTTATTCTCAATTTCGAGGAATTTAATATAAGATTTCTTAAATTGCATTTAAAGATCGACGTAACATCGAAAAATTAAAATAATAATGTGTTAATATTGTTGAGATTTGCACTTTTATACTCGAAATTCAGTGGTTTAATTTATCGTTAATTATTTATTATC